AGTCAAGACAAAATATTTTTTTTACTCAAATTGGGATTTAATATGCCGCAAACATGCACATCGCCTAGCTTTAGCTGCATCTCTAGACAGATTGATGGTCGTGCGAGCTGAAGCCTATGAATCGCGTCAAGTTTGACATCTGTCACGCTATTCTTTGCCTCATTGGCATCCAACATCGAAGATTCGTGATGTTAGCTTATTTAAGAAATCTAGGTTGAGTCACACAATTTTCAATCTTATTCTTTTCATTTATAAATTCATTATTTTAAACTCTACTCAACTTCGATATTTGTAGATTGGTCTGGTTTATAAATCTCCGAAATTTTGGAGCAAATGCTAAGTTATGCTAAATTGATTTGGTTCATGAATTTCAAAAACCTTTGAAGACCAGTTTGTAAGATGTAAAGTGAAATGCAAGCCACGACTACCTGGGACACAGGGCTACCATAGTAAGCACAAAGTTATTTCTTGACAAAACTTCTGTTCTTGAAGATTCATATTCTTATAAATAGCGGTTTGTTCAATTTTAAGTTCAGTTCAACTTTATTCTGAAATAAGTTAAAGTCAAGCAACTTCCCTATATTCTCACCTCATCGTTCTTAATTGGAATTTGTGCGGCCATTCCACCCATTGCATGGATTCCTCGTTGATGGCAGGTCTTAATGCAGAGAAGAGAGTAGGCTCTCATGAATGGCGCAGTCATCCCTGGAAAAAAGAAACATTGAAAAATCCATTATGTTCAAATAATTACGGGAAAAGGACAGCTAACCGATTTGGAATCGATCTGGCAATAAGAATTTTCTATGATTCTGGAACGTTTTGATGTAGGAGAAGATGTAATCCCAACGTCCACAGTTCAACCCGACAATGTAGTCTTTCAATGCATAGATGATTTCATTCATCTGGAAAAAAGCTGATTTTTGGACTTTGTAAAAAAAATTTCTTAGAATTTCAAGTTAGAGATTGTACCTGGAAGCTTGCCAAGAGATGTTCAATAAGAACAGTGCATTTGATAGAACCTTTAGGTATTCCTAGTCTTTCCTCGGTGTATTGGAACACCTCTGCCCAAAGCTTAGCCTCTTCAGCATTTTGGAGTTTAGGTAGATAGAAGTAAGGCCCACTACCCTTATCAAGAAGAGCCTGAAATAACAAAATACTTTTCACCCGTGAAAATTTTTTTTACTATTTACTTTGGCATTGTGATAGACATATAATCCAAAGTCAAAAAGTGATCCTGACGTTGGCGTGTTGTGAATGAGCACATGCTTCTCCAATAAATGCCAACCACGAGGTCGAACATTTAGAACTACAACAGTGCTATTACTTAATTCCAAAAATGTGAAAATCAATAGATCACTGTGAAAAAATCAATACCTGAAGTCTTTTTGTTTAATGTATACTCCTTCTTTGTTGTTGGATGCACATAGGAGATGTTATTTCGGACAGCATCATATAAATTAATTTGACCTTCCAACTGGTTCCTCCATGAAGGAGTGTTC